ATTGCTCTCTCCTCAGGGTATTGCATATGTTTTGAGGGTTGGGTGGGGTGGGCCTCAGCAAAGGACCTCCGTTGCTTCTGAAGAACCAATGCTTGCAACGTTTCTGTTGTCCTCTCAGCTGAATCGGCCCCATTCTCTATAGGGGTTGCCCTTTAACTCTTTCCTTTGCTCGCGACCACTGGGCTCGTGGATGCCAAGTTGCCAATCCGATCACACGTGGTCTGTGTGAATTGTAGGTGTATGTTTTTCCCGCGGTAATCTTCCCTGGCCATGCTGAACTTTTGGCCGCGTTGTGCCGACATGCGGAGAGAGGACGTTGCTTTCCCCTTGGCTGGACCCCCCCTACCCCGTAGAAAAAGTTCCCTGAAAGGTCACACATATGCGTCAATAGGAGAGGTGTGCTTCTGAGTACGGGATATGTCCTCCCCTTTGTGTCTAGATCTCCCCTGGACTTGTTGACGGGCAGCTCATACTCCATTGGGCAGTGAATGGTGGTATATATGCCTGGTCGGCGAATCGATTCCCAACCCCAATGACCTCTAGTCCCTTTTCCCCAACATCATGACGAGGCCTTATTGCGAAGTCACTTGCTGCTGCTCGTTTTGGTTGTTGGCCGCTGTTTGCAGAGAATTTCAATTCAGCATAAGGAGCGTGGGCATCGTGTGTTTGGATCACCGCCTTCCCTGCACTTACCTCGTTACTGGATTCATCGTTTTTCTCTGCTTTCACACCAGCAGGATTTGTAGATCTCATGGCGGCATCGGCGTCCGGCGTGGTCATTAACCAGCCGCGAGAGGTAGGTTTGGGGTTTCCTGCGTTCTTTGCCATCGGCATGAGGCTCCACCGTGGATATCACGATGGATGTGAAGTGCTAGAAGTAGGTCTTGTTCTTGGTACAGGCTGTGTCTGGCAGACCTAAATGCAAGTATTTAGGCAACTAGGGCTGAGCAAACGCTAACAACTGCCTTCTGCGGCAGGACTCCTCAATTTCCACCCGACCATACGTCCAGGTATGTGTGTTGTAGCAAACGTGCCTTGTTCACTCCTGAGCATGTTTTTTTCTCCGGAATATTAGTCAGTCGCTTTCCGTTTACGTTCCACAATTGAACGTAGGCCACGCGCAGAACTTGCCTGTCTCCCTCAAGGGAGGTACTCAAACGCTGCTGTTTTCGCTTCGTTTCGGCCATGCTTAATGATACAGCTTCTTGGTTTCCCACCACCTCCGGGAGCTCCGTCCAAAGATAGCCCACCTCCCCCAGGGGCTCCGCCCGGTGGAGAGTGGGAGGGGGAACGCCACTGTGGGAAGCACACGTGGATCATTGGAGTGTGCCTTCACTGTTGGTGTATTGCGTGTTGCCCCGTTGACACCCGGATGGTGAGTGCGTCAATTTGCATGTCTCGAAAAAAAGCTTGGCCCATGGAAGCACCGAGTGCACTGTTTCATTGCTAATTTGGATAAAGTGGAATATCCGACGTGCTGGCGAAAAGTAGTGCGAGAAGAGGCCAAGCTTGCTTCAGGCATGACCATCACAAATATTGGGACATGTGTACATGAACACATGAACTGTACGCCGATGGTTGTTGGACATCACTGCTCACCTCCAAACAATACAACATTTTCGCCCAACTTTTGCTCTTCTCACGCCGCAGGTTTATTATGCCGAAGGGAAAAAGTACAGCAGAACCGGGGTAGTGAAGTTTGATGCCGGTATCTATGACTCCGACGATGACTGAACGGTGACTGCCTTTGTCGGTCGGATCCGCTGCTCGGTCGGATCCGCTCTTGGTGTAAAATGGTGGCTTTTTTGTTTTGTGTGTTTGTTTGCATGTGGCTACCGAAGTCGGCCCGGGCGGAAGTGGCGGCTATGGTGGTATCTCTCAAAGCTACCGAACACACGGCACTTCGGCACTTTGTTTGTTGTGCATGTATCAGTAAGGGGGGATCAACGTTTGCTGTTCAATTCCGATGCAACGGCCATGGAGTATATGAATCGATCTTCCACGTGGACCCTGGCCTCTTCAGGACATGCCGGCTGGGTTTTTTGGCATGGTTTTGTTTTTCTTGTGATTTCCCCTTGGAGGTGCCTCAGCAGCATGGTCCTTGCTGCCGTACCAAAGGGCAGCCGATGTTTGAGCATCGTACTCTTGTCAAAGATAATCGCACAGTGACTCGCAGGATGATCTGCACGGAGCACGTGGCGGGCGTGTTTGTAACGATTCGTGTTGGTCGGCGCTTGAACCAACATCGCAAAACTTACATGTGCTGTGATGTCCGTTGCCGGAATTATCTGCACACACAGAATGTAAGGTGGAATCAAGCACACACAAACACAGACATGCAGAAGGTAGCAGGCGAGGAAACGTCAAGGAAGAGGGCATTGATCCGCTTGGAGAAAGCGAAAGGCAAGGGAGTTTTGTCGTGGTTGACAACGCAAGGGTTATCAGCAGATGAAAGAATTTTGCCTGATCTAGACTAGACGTTGAGTGAAGATAGCTGCATACTGAAACCTTACCACAGATGGATTGGTTTTTGAAATTGCCAGACACATAGGCGCGCTGCGTTGGGATAGCTACATACTGAAACCTCACAAATTGAGTTATGTTGGATAGTGCCGGACACGTAGACGCTTTGAGTGAGGAAAGACACATACTGAAACCTCCCAGGTGATTTGCATTGGAGATTGCCGGACACATATTACGGTGGCACATAGTTAATAGGAGCAATTTAAAAGATATGCGTTTCGGAGTGTAACTTTCGCAATACGATGCGCAGCACAGCAGACGATAGCGCAAATTGACGACAGGGAAAAGGCGGTCACGATGAAAAAAAAACATTAAAAAAAATTCAAATTGCTTGAGTTATGGCTTGTCGTGTACCTGAGCAGAGATTCAAAATTGAAAAAATGCCCAGCAACATGCGGCCAACATTGGTACATATCCCCACTTCTCGGCCTGCAACTCAACATTTTTAAGCGCCTGTCGGCATACAGTAGCGCAAAACGCTTCCATGACGAAGGCGGTCAATACGCAAGAAGATAGAACATGAATGCAGTTGACGTGTGGCAAGCTGCATCCGGGGTAAGACTTGTCGACAATTGAATATTTTTGATTTTTTTTTTCAACAACTGCAGCAGCTGGAAGCAGGGACGCAACCCCCCGCGCACAGCAATCACACATGTGTGCTGTTGGAACATGGTACACCCAGTGCATGGGTGTAGCAATTGATCACAAGGCTGAAAAAAATCTCATCATGGTTNTGCCTTCCACCCCTCCTCCTGGCCTGGCCATTCCTTGTCCCCGTACCAACCTTTACGAAGCTGCACCCACACCTCCCGCATCTTTCGCTTCAACTCAAAGTTAAGGCTGACGTACTGCTTACCATGCTGCCAAAAAAGCTCGATCGGTTGAAAGGACGGCATGTAGGGCGGCGTCCAAATCAACGCCCACCCCTTTTTCCTCATGAACGTCACCACCCGTTCCTCGAGCCTTTCAGGGTGATTGAGGTGGATGTACTCCCGAGTGGCCGTTGCTACCTCCGCTCTGCTTACACCGCCCTCCCTGTTCCCTGCAGGGAATGAAGAACCAGGCTCTGTCGGTACCTCGAAGTTG